GGGGGGGGGGGGGGGGTTACAAAAAAATTGGAATTTCATCTGCTAGTGATTCGATGAAATATTCGGAGCATTTGTGTCCGTATTAAAAAGATATTTGTGGGATACACTGTTGGAAAAATTTTTGTCTGGGAGAATTTGAAGAGATAAAATGCCATCAATTAGCGGGTTCCATTGACAATTTCAATAGCTATTCGATAGAATTCCAACACTGTAGCTCAAAAAAAGCAACCCTTCGTTACAATAGGATATCCAATTGCTTTTTTTTTCGTGAAATTATTTTCAATATTTGTAGCTGAACATCACAGCATTTTTCCATTTTATTATTTACACTTGAAAGGTCTAATTTAATTTAATTGGTCATTTTTAATTTACATTATCAGAAAAAAAAATTGAATAACATTCAAATCGATTTGGAGGAAAAAAAAAATTATGAAATTGCAGAATAATTCCATTGATTTTTTCGTAAAATTTCCCTTTTGAAAACAAAAAATTCTTGAAATTTCAAGAAGTCTGCAGTGGTATTTTTTCCATTGAAAAAAAATTGGACGAAGGGTTGAAAATCCCACCCCCTCCCCCCTAAAAACAATCTAATAACGCGCACAATCAATGCGCAAAAATTGTTTTTTTAATCTGTTTCAGTCCCCTCCCAAAGGTGCCACGATCCCTTATCGCCCCAAACCCCAAGTTGGTGGGCCAGTGATCCTGGCTGGTGGGCAAGCATACACCATCCAGGGTAATTACGCGGTGCCCGCCCACTCGGACGTAAGTACAGTATTGTCAATGCCGGTATCCGCTGCCGGGCCTGCCCCACCCTCGCTGAACGCCCAAACTCTTACTGCCTCGCCTTTCGCGGCCGCCCACCCCTCCTCGCCCTTCGCTTCACACGGCCATCCGCTGATCCCGGCCCATCTCACTGGACCCCATCATCCGCTACACCCGAGCCCCTTACACGCAAGCGTGGCAGGCCTCGCCGACCCCCTGCTGAAGAGTGGACACTTGCAGGCAGCCCTCCCGCCCGCACTCGTGGCAGACGCCGTAAGTCTTTTGTTTTTCGTGATCCAAAACACCCCCCCACCCCCCATCACCACCCCCCTGCCCCAGCCCCTCAACCCCTGCTGAAAAAACTCCAATTGATTACACGTGAGAGACAGAACACGATTGAATCATCCAATCATGACTAGAGTTTAGTCACATCTGTACCCCCGTTGGTAAGCTATCCCCATCACAAGTACAGGGTACACTTGCAATTGGGAATGTAACGGACAAACCTGACCGGTCAATTTACCGTCATTTTACACGTAAATTACGTGCCACTGACCGAAGGCCAATTACTGAGTATTTTTGATCAGAAAAAATGGGACGGAATTCCCTGTCACGAAAGTAACACAACGAAATTTACGTCATTTTAGGTATTGGCGTAATTTTACGTGGATCGTCTATGGTCTTCACTGAACATCATAGTTTTTCATTGTATATATTTAATAGGTGTATTAGAAGAATTCGGGATTTCGCACCGTCTCGGCATGATAAGACGTTTTTTATAATCACGATACGATTGAATCATGCACAACCAAAACCCCTAAACAAACGTTCAATATATTTTAGGCACAACGAAATCATCACGTACGAATATCCTTGCGAATTTCAACACGGATACACGAGTTTGATCCATTTCGTGCATTAGTAATCAACTGTCGGTATTTTTCCGACCAGCGCTAAGGATTCCCTAAAATTGTGATTTATTTCACAAAAAAACTGGAGAATATTCTGGAAAAATGTGGAATTTGCTAGAAAAATCTATATTTCAGAAAAATGTAGCATTTTCTAGAAAATTTTAGAATGTTCTAGAATTCAGATAGATGGCGCCACTGCCGATAAGGGACCATAAGGACTTTTTCCCTAAATGCCCCCGATAACGAACACAGACGTATCCACATCAAAAAAATCTTGACGGTCACGTTACATCTAGATAGAGTTTCACATTCGCGACATTCATCATGTGATCGTTGTTACATCGAAATTCGATTTCCAGAACTCCCCAAAATTTAGTAAGAGATAGCCTGCTTTGGGCACCATATGCTTAAGAGAGTTCTTTAATTAGTCCTTAAACAATCAAGTTTCGGTGCTCGTAGTGACAGATTAATTTTCAAGCATAAATGACAACGAGAAAAAATTACTGTCGATTGAGTGAGTTGACCGGTCAGTTTGCATCACAAGGTGTGCGTCAAGTCGGAAATGATCAGAAAACGGTAAATTTACGACTGACGCATGTAAAAAATTACCGTGATTTTGCATCCCCACTTGCAATCCTCAGCCACTGCTTACCCACTTCGGCACGGTGAAGGGATTACACGATTTTTCATTGATCGAGTTAAGGTGGTCTGCTAAATACGTGGCAATGGAATTACTGGGGAATTTAATGGTGAAGGCTTTGGAGGATATCCAGAAATCAAAGATGGACATCGGTATTTTCGTTGAGGTTTCTCGTCCAAAAGTTGACGAATCCTCGTGAAAATACAGCAACGGGATATGAGGAACAAGAATGCGAAACATTTCTGTGCACAGAGGACTTGGGGGATTGAAGTAAATGAGATTCTGCAGGACTTGATGTGGACAATTGTAGGAGCTAAACACAGCAAGAACGACATAACATTTTTCAGACACGGAAAAACGTCTGAATAAAAATGTGTCTGAATTTCAGACGAACAGGTGCTCAAACGTCCCAATTCATGTTTGAAATTTAGACAAATTTTCATTTATCCAGACGTTTTTTAGTCTTTGAAAAATGTCTACAAGAAATATGAGAAATTCAGACGTTTGTTGTTGCTGTGAATGCAGCAAATCTTTCAATTTGCTTTAATCTCAAGTCTTCACCTCAATAGACTCAAAACCTCACCCCTCGCTCCTCACTCCTCCCATTTTTCCACTCTATGTCAGCCCCAAGTATTCCCTCCGAGATTCCCACGATATCCCTCAAAAAACTCACCTCTAAAAACTCCAGAGCATCGGTTACCAACAAATTCTCAAACCGTCATCAGAGACAATCAGACCCCCTTAATCACCACGTACCACAGTGACAACCAGTGTTCTTAACAATGCCTCTCAACTCCATCAAAACTTCGCGTGCACTTCATTGTCATTCTCAATGATGCTGCAATTCAATAACAAAATGTCACGAGGCGGGTTACAATGAGTGTTTTGTATGTCGATAGCCCCGACACCGTGTCCCCCCAGTAGACTCCCCCTGA